TCATGTCCATCCCTTGTTGCCAACACATAGCCTGTGTTGTGTGGAAGACAGCCACCCCAAATGCTCTTTTCCACACCCTCTCCAGGATCACAAGGGAGTCCTGGAAGTGCATCTAAACACAAACAGCAGAAGGTCCCCATTTAGCCAGAGAGTCGAGGGATCTAGGCCGCCACTTCCCGGAGCAGAAGGTTCTTCTTGTAGCATGCCAGGCTGCAGAGGGGCACCCCAGTGTGGGAGCAGGAGTACCGCTTGAGGTTGGGGCAGCCGGCGACCCCGCAAGGCGTGGGCGGAGGCACAGGGGGCAAGGCGGAGGGCAGCAGGGGCAGAGGGGCCCCCGGAGGGAAGGAGACCGTGATCCCGTCGGCAGCATTGCGGTAGGAGACGGTGGGCACCACCGCCCCTTTGGCCTTGCGCTCCCGCAGGGTCTTCACTTTGGCCTTGCTGGTCTTGGTCAGGCGCTCGATGGTCTGGTTCTTGTTCTCCTCGGCCTTCTTGGCGGCCTGCAGGCGCCGCTTGCGGGCTCTCTCCTCCCGCTTGACCAGCATCTCCTCCGTCAGCTCCTTGGCTTTGTAGCCCATGGGCAGCTCGAGCAACGGCTGGCTCTGCTGCTTGTGCAGAAGGGCTTTCTGGAAGCAGACGCAGAAGGAGAGAAAGTGAGTGAGTGAGTGAGTGAGTGAGTGAGCGAAAGAAAGAAAGAAAGAAAGAAAGAAAGAAAGAAAGAAAGAAAGGAAGGATATGCCAGAAAAATGCCAGTGATTCGATTAAGGAGGAAGTTATGAACAAAGCTTTTCGGCAGGGAAAAATGGAGCAACAGCACTCCCTGTGGCCAGGACCGAGCACAGCCTCCAAGATGCCTAAGATGGGAATGCCTATAGATACCTCTATATATGTACAGTTGTCTGTCTTGTCAGTGTATAACAAGTAATGGCAAAATTCAATGCCAGTACAAACAATTATACACTACAATTAGATATAGATCAAGTTTTAAAAGTACATCCACAAGCAATAAAACAATCATTAAAACAATCAAACAGTCTCATTCCCAGCAAATTGATTTCCACAATAAACTTCTACGGAGAGAACCATACTGGAATTTTTAGATTAAGGACAGAATACCCACATGGTCTGAATGAACTAAATTTGTACAACTGTTACACATAATCTCTGTACCTCAATTATACTATACACCCCTACTTAAATACATGGAGAGCACCCACAGTGCCATCTGGTGGTTTCTGTTCACAACCCTTGCTCCTATGGCTCTAACTGAGCTTCCCCTTTTCACCGGAAGTAGTTCTTTTCCCTTTAAATAGAGGGAACCCACAGATCTTTCCCATACTCACAGCCAGAACTCAACATAGAGCAGAGTACCATGTGACTACCCTCTTAATGTGTAAAATGCTTTAATATTTCTACAAAATAATCATCTTTAACATGTTGTTGT